AAGAGAAGGCATCACACAATGACTTTTCAGTCGCGCGTTCCTTTTATGTGGTATTATTAAAAAGTAAACAGTATTAATGAGTTCGAATTAAATTTGACTTTGTATAATAAATTAGGTTTTTATGCAAGAAAAAAATATTGCGACAGGAAACTAAAAATTAAAAATATTATAAATTTAAACGAGAAAACGACATTTAATATTCTGTAATTTATATAATCCTCGGCGTCCCAATAATCTATCAGATAAAATCTTGAGAAAAAAATTTATATATAATTTAATTTACATTTTCGAAAATGTATCAATTTACATAAATTTGCGCGATAATAATAATATAAAATTATGCAAAATGATTCATNTCATTCAAATTGTAAAGTCTACAAGAAATCTCGCACTGTGCGAGAATCAGTTTTGCAGTTTATGATAAATTTTTATGACCAAATTCCAAAGAAATATGTATCCATAGATGCAAAAACGGTGTTTAGAGTACACTGTAACGTGAAGTTATATGCGAAAGCACTATCGCAATGCAAGAAAAAAAAATGCAGCTGTCGGAAACTTAGAATATATATTTTGCTAACTCTGCCCTACATTCTTGTAATATAGCACGACAGTTAATTTAAATTTAACGCGAGAAGTTTCATGATGCATAAAACATTCATCTCAAATTCTTAATTAAGTAAGATGTAAGTATGTGAATTTATTGTGATCTTGTCGATAATTGCGGTGTATCTTTGATCGTAATATCTTTTTACATTTTTACAAAATTCTCTTTATACGGATCTTTTATTTCGAACACATGATATTTCTATGTTTCTTTTCTGATTGGACGTTAAATCGATAACAATCGACATGATCGCTTAAATTCTCATCTCTTTTTCCTCAATATTAGCAATTTGCTTAATATTAGCAAAGTAGACAATAAGTAAAATATCCATTGCATAAATGGAATAAGTTTTATTCTTATTTGCCTCGAGTACTAAGAAAACAGTAGAACGAGCGATTTCTGGCCAGATCTGCTCGTTTTTATTATGAAAAGATATTAGGTTAGTAATATAATGGTAAAAGATAGAATCGCTCTTAATTCATTTATTTTTTACAGGGAATCGATAAAATATTCTCTATCTCAAATATATAATGGATTGTCTGAATGACCGATATCTTTAGACATCGAAAATCGATAGTGCTAACTAATGGCGTTTCCATAATTGAAACTGTTCTCCGACTGTGTTCCGCGTTCAAAGTAATATGATAGAAACCACTTAGTTCACTCGGACTTAGTCCTTCTCGGCTATATGGGTCATGAATATTCTCACTCGGATAGTCATTGTTATTACACCTGATTTCATTTACAATTGGCCCGTTGCTCATGTCGCGTGCACATACGGACTGACAATGTATCGCGCGAGCCTTTTGTCGCCGGGTACAATAGAACGTTACAATCAATGCAGACAAAATGTACGTCCCACTAACCAGTGTTATAGCGCAGAACCAGTAAACGAAGCTTAAGTAATATCAATGTGCTTTAATTAGCTGTATCTCTTGTGAATGCTCAGACACACGCATACCAATTATGCTCATAATGATACCATAAAAAGCTGATGTATGGGAGAAGTAAATTTGGAGCATAAAACTTATCAATTGATTAATGTTTTATTAAGCCATGCTTCTTTATCGCGATTTATTCATATTTATTTTTAAAAGGGCATGTTAAATCGATACTCGAATGTATCAAAATGATCGGCTATCTATCATATAAATATAAAGACATGATACGGTGACACCATATGGTGCATGAAATAGAAGACGGAATAAAATTAGACGAAGACGATTCCACCCTTATTGAGCAACTGATTGAATTTTAACTGATTTATCTCCGAATCGCTTATCGGAGCAAAATCGAGAATATCACGCGAAAACGCGACGAACCATATTCGATACGCTGAAAATCGACGCATTAATGTGTGCTCAATGCATGAAATGCGCTTATTACATACGGGTTATATACGACTCGTGACAATGCTTTTACAGTATTATCACGAGTCGTTTGGGTACTTAGCTTCCCCTTCGGGATAAACCTTCCAGGTACTAAGCCCTCCCACCAACGTCAAGGTGTACCCGTTTTAGGAGGGTTATATTATATTATTATATAATTTTGTAATATATATGATACATACATATATATATATATATATATATATATATATATATCTACCTGCACATGGCGGGTGATCCGCGAATTATTATAATTTTATAATATATATGATATATACATATATATATATATATATATATATATATATATAAATATATTTGTAATATTTATTTTATAATTGAGAGATTATATATTGCATTTTATAACATAAATAAACAAATTGAAATTAAAGATAAATATTCGCGGATTACAATATTCTAGAATTTGTCAATTGTTTACATGACAATTTCCGATCGACTAAATCTCGCGATAAACTGCAGTACGTTATATAGTCTAAGAAAATATGCGCTAAACATAAAGTAAATTAATTTATTATTTAGAATAAGTTCAGGAAAATATTTTGTTTTCTAATTTTATATTAATTATTAATTCAACTAATTGTAAATTATTACTTTTCATTATTTTAATACGTTTGATTACTTATTTTAACTAATCTTGCACATGGTTTATTACACAAGTTCAATCTGTCAATCCGAATGACAAATTATATTTAATTCAGCGAAAAATTTAGAATATTGAACGAATTATAGTAGACCTTTTTTAAGCATTATTAGAGTAATAATTATTGTCAACTGTCGTAATCAATTATCGTATCTTATTGCTTAGATTTTTAGTTGAAATAATGGGGTTACGCGATATGGTTCGTGTCTTTTATAAAAGTTACTTTATCATTAATTATAATAATCATGCGTGTGTGTATGTGTGTGTGTGTGTGGGCGAATTATATTTCAATACTTGTCGCGATCGCGTTTCAAATAGGAATTCAACAATATATAGAGTGTCTCGTGCTACAACTTTACTGCTCGAGGATCGCTGAGCAATGATAACAAGGCCTTGCTACGTAAACAATAGCACGCTATATGTTGTCACGATCAAACACAGTTAATTCACATCGCCGAAAAATTTACTATAAAATATATGTATATACACAGAATATATTATGTTTCTTGAATTATATATATATTAATTATTAATTAAACGATTAATATATTATGAGATCTTTCATTACGTTAATCACTCGATCTTGCGATTCGTGTTACTGCGCGATTTTAATTAAAATTTTTTTAAACTTCCTTTTTTATTTGTTAATTAATGCGATTCTCCATGGCATCAAGCAAGCTAAGTATAATTAGTAATTTCTGATTGCGGCCTCATATATGTGACGAGCTCGTTGGTACCGCAAATATTTAATCTGAATACTCTGTCGATCGAAACTGATGTATAACCCGGTTGCCCGGAGAAATCTGTTATCTTTATCGCATTCTAATGCATTATGCATGTAATTAACACCTTTATTTTACATCACCTCAAATTTTAATTAATTAATGTATCGGTTTGCGTTATAAGCTGCGTCCAGAACCAGTATAAGCCGCAAACGAAAATTAGTTAATGCATACTGTGTTGCGAAATAGATATGTAACAGATGCTTTCATTTCAACATGGAATATCAGAATATCAAAAGGTATTAATTCATTTTACGTGAAATACGAATTCAAGAGAAATGCTCTATATTGTCATCACAAAAAAAAAAAACTGACTGCAACTTATTTTGAAAAAGTTAACGCTACTCAGTGTAATTAAATTTATACGTGTTTTAATTTAGAAAACCATTTTTCTTCGCTTTAGTTAATTTCATATATAACACACACGAAAATATAGCGCACTTTCATGTAGTTGCAATTTTCCAGCTAGTTAGTTTGTATAATATGCGGAACGTTTTAATCGTTTTTTTTTTAAATGGCTTTTTAAATTTAAAACAAAATAATTTATCGTATCTCTTCTATGTTCATAAGGTTTATTTCTTTGTTACTAAGATGGTAAATTGCACGCATGGCTGATCTGATACGCAATATCTATCTCGTTAAACGTTAAGAAAATGATAAAAGATATTTTATCGCGCATTCTTTAAAACGCGAATGCTTGTGGCATGAGAGAAAGAACATTCGAGTGAATGCGCCCTGCAAACGCGCTTCGTGAATAGGTAAAAATGACCCGAGAATTTTCTTTGAAAACGTAAAGCGAGGTCCCTTCAGGAAAGACCTTCTGCATGCTTTCCTCGTGGAATGTTGTCGGATACAAACGAGCACCGGATAGAGGAAGCTGCTCGTAATGCACGCGGCGTACGTTGCATTCTAGCCTTTAAATAGTCATGTAAGCTCTTTCACGACGCGCGTAAATACTACTATTTTTTATTTATAATTATTATTCCATATAAAAAAGGCAAAAGATCGCGAGAATGTTAAATTATTTGTTATTTTATATTTATGCATTTGAATGCATCTGAAAACTGCCGTGGTAAACTATACAAAATACGATCGGTGTTTATATCGCACGGTTTTGATTTACGTGAGTTTCAAAGCGCCACGTAGCTAAATGGAATCTTGATAAGGATTTGCATAATTAATATTTCCGTAAGAGTTATCGTGCAAATAAAATCCACGGATAAAACAGAAATAATACTGTCGTAGAGAATAAAAGCAGTTCCTAAGCTTTTTGATTTATGCAAACTTGCGAAGCAGTTTAATGAAATCCGGGAGCAGGTTTCCGGATTTTTACGATATATAAATAGCGAAACGTAGGAATTGAATACGATCAGGGAGGAGAATGCACAGAATGATTCTCGATCGCGATCTCCTCTTTAAAGCGCCGTCGATTTGCTTCCCTACGGTATTTTTCCATGCATACAATGCGCGAATCGAACGATGGCGGAATCGCGCTTTTTGTCGGCTCTGTCGTCATCCCTTCTACACTGGAGATAACTGAATTTTTTACCGTTCCTCTGTTACAGCACTGTTTCGCGATATCGTACAGGAGAGAGAACCAACGGCAATACGAGCTAAAAGCGGCCACAGAGACGGACTGCAAAACATGGATCGATGCAATACGAGAAGCTAGGTAACAAAGGTTCGCGGCCGAATCGAAGATTGGGCCGATTAAAATGACGCACGCGTCGCCTTGATTTATGGAGATTGCGAACAATGCTCGATTTCGTAAATCACTACGATCATTTCAATGACTGAGTGTAACCGCGTTTAAATTTGGGGCTCCAATTAGAATCGCCGTCGAACCGCGGCAGTCTCCGCCACACGGCCGCCGATTACTTTCATTCGCGAAAATCGCGGAAAAACTTTGCCACTGTGGATTTTACAACGCGATAGATACAAACGAATTGATTTCGACGTGCCCGAACATCCCGTCCTGTTTCCGTCCTCTTCGTTAAATCTTTTTTCAGATTTAAATCAACTATACGCGTGGCAGAGAAGATATTCGGTATCCGTTGCGGATTCTCTGAGCCGGAACGAATTAAAATATTTATTCAAATATTTATTAAAATATTTATTAAAATGTTTGATTAAATTATAAGTGATTTCTATTTAATTTTCCGGCATTACACAACGATAGAAAAAAAGTTTTCATTGATCCGGCGTTATAAAAGCAGATGTACTTTCGCGATTCTTTTATCTCGCACATTTGGCATGAATTTCATATATATCTTTAATAACGAATTAGTTTAATCTCCAATCACGCGGTTAATTTATACGCGTTTATTTTATTCAACAAAAAGAGAAATGCACTCTCTTAAACTAAATCAGTGAAAATGCCGCTGATTAAAGCATTGAGAAGATTTCACCTCAGTATTTCATTAACGGAGGAATAAAGCGTGACTATTTTCACTGATCTGTTTTTAGTGCAAACATTCACGCTTGGCATCTCCGTCTTATGTTTCACTGATTTTCTAGGGCAGTGATATTAATTTATTTTGATATAATTAGTATTCAAATTCCGAATTATGTACATATTACATCCCTTTATTCTTAAGATGTCATAAACTCACAATCAGAACATGAACAGACTCTTGATCAAACTCAGATATTTCTTTAACAAAATACACTACTAAAAAAAAATAGGAAACACTTTTCATAGCCTAAAGATTGGGCTATTTTTAAACTGCTGAAACTCGACGAAAAATCATCGTAGACAAAAAATTAAAAAAGCATTTTGAAGCTTGAAGTTTCAACTGTAACGTGATATCAATAGTTCTAAAAAAAATTTTTATTTTCTCATTCCTAGAAAATACAGGTTCAGTTTCAAAATCGTGTAACTCGGTAAAAAAGAAATATAAAAAAATTTAAAAAAAAGCATTTTGTAGGCAAAATATTGTAGTTTATGGAACTTGAGTTGAATTTTTCGAGAGAAATTTTTTTATCGAGCTGCAGAGTGTCAAAAATACATAATTTTAAGGAACAAAACAATGGGTTCTTCTTTAAAGCACAGAACAAGGAAGATAAAAAGTTTTTTAAAAAACACCGATAGCGCGATAAAGTTGAAACTCCAAGCTTCAAAATGCTTTTTTAATTTTTTGTCTACGATGATTTTTCGTCGAGTTTCAGCGGTTTGAAAATAGCTCAATTTTTAGAGTATGAAAAGTGTACCCTATTTTTTTTTTAGTAGTGTATATTGCTCTATAAATTTATCTCATTTCTAATATTGTAAGATACATTTTAAAATATCATTGATTAAAATAACTACTACTACTAACTTTTTTTACAGTGAGATTTTATTGCATGCAATGTTATAACTAAAACACTGTTTATCAGTGATAATACACTGATTCCATTTAAGAGAGCACGAGGTAACAGAATAACTTTCCCATGTATAATAAAATTTGTAACGCAATAATTAACTTTGTTTTCCAGCATGACTCTATTTTATCCACAGTTTATTCTGTAGACCCTACACTTCGTCTATTATTCAGGAGAATTCTCTTAATCTCGTTGATGCACTGATAAATACATTTGCGGGCATCACATTAACATCGGGCCGTCTCAGCCACTACCTCTCTATTAATCCCACTCGTGTAATTTCCTTACATTAACGCCGAAATAATCTTCATCATACTATAATATCAAACGTGCATTAAGAAGCAGGAATAGACTAACTGTAATAGTTGATTGCGGGGAAATGGATATACGCGAGGATGTGCGAAATGAAAATATATTTTACCCTAATTAATATACGTTCATATATGTTAATAATTAATATTAATTAATATACAATCTGTTTAAAACGATAAATTCCACAAAAATAAAAAAATACGGTTATTTAAAAAAGTTTATATCCCCTCTTATTTATTCTTCTTTTTCTAAAATGAAAAACCTAATATTTTCTCCGCTAACAATTTTACAGTTGGTTTGCCTCTGTTTAGGGAAATGCGCATGGGTTACAAATGAGCCCATTTCACCGGTATTTTTTTGTCGCAGGTGTTTCTCGTGAAGAACGTGATCGTTACATTGATGCTTGCAGATGCATCAAATGTCGTTCTAACATCTCATCATCGTGCTGCGTGCGTGATACCATTACGCGAGAAAAAAATGATACTCTTACAGATTCATGTCTTCACTTGACACTTCTCGTATTACTAGAAGGATATTTATATTCCGATCCACCATCGAATCAGGTTTATATCTCATCCTTTGCGTCCCTTTCGCGAATATCTCTACGTTTAATTTTTTAAGTGCTTGAATTAAAATTTGAAGAATTTTTTAAATTAATCGACATTTTTTTTAATTTATTTATTTATTATATGATTTGGAGCAAATTATTACATGTTACTGTATTACATTATTTTTAAATTAAAATACACAAATTTTTGGCGAAAATCAAGTCACACTTACTTCCTTAAACATTAGCTTAATATAAAACATCGTAAACAACATGTTTACATGAATAATGTTTCTTCCTTTGAATATTTCACGATATGAGAAACTATACACCTTCCTTCCGCAATCCTCATTTTACGGGCCGACTTATACACGTTTGCATCCAGACGGAGTGGCTATCTTCTCAGATTACTGCTATGCTGCACCGTAATATGCATAGATAATGATATCCATTACTTCGGCAATTTTGCCGTGTATTCGAAAATATAGGGTTGATACTTCTTCGAGTATCTCATGTCACGCAGAAGGTCGATCGATAGTCGCGATAACTTCTTCATGCAATGTGGACCACGTTTGAGATTGCTTGTTTTGTGTAAACTCAAGCAGACCTTCTCAAAACATTGCAAACTATGAACAAGTTTGTGCTACAATATATATTTGCGCGGCTTGTAAATTTTTATACGTGTATTGTAGATAAAACAATTTAATTAAAATTTGAGTCAGACCGCATAATCTTATAACCTAAATTTTAAAAAAGAAATTTGCAATATATATATTTATAAAAAAAAGGTTGTACAACGTTCTCAAAAATGAAGCAACATATATACATCCTATAGATTAGAATATTGATAACATTCCTTATAATATTGGATTTCAATTTTTTAGCACGAAAAGATATGGTGAATCACTAATGTATCTTTTTTGAAGAGAAATATATGCTTTTATTCCTTGTCTCGAATTTCATCACTCGTCTCGCTTTACTTTCGAAACGATGTGGATACTCGACTCAGTGGTAATCCTGTACCTTCTTTTCGCAAAAATTATGATAATAAGAGGTAGATGTAAATTACACGAGTCAACGAGAGAAATTCTAATGAAATTCATCGATCATCTGTTTGGCGTAATAAAATTTAATAATTTTGTTTGTTACAAGTATAATTTTGGTAAATGTTCGGATTAACTTACACCTCACGGATGTTTTCATTTTTACATATATTGTAAAGAATACATTTCCAAGTAATACATGCTTTAAATTTTGTGGCGCTTTCTTCTGGTTCCAGAGATATTCGATTTTGAAGTATCAGAATTTTCGTATTTACTTGTATCATCTTTTTGTTATATTCTACTTGCGTGTTCATATTTTTAAATCAAAAATAGGTTTGGGTTAGGTTATATGTTTTGGAAGTGAAATCCCCCGTAGGGGCGGGGGGCGAAACCGACTGCGTCAATTTTAAAAGTAAAGTTGGGTTGTTAAAAGCTGTTAACGAACTGCGGGAAATAGGTGAAACACATTATTGACAAAATATCCATGACCGTGTACCTATCCCGTAAAAGTAAATAAACACTTTTTCCACATCTGCTCTATAACAAATACAACGTACATAAACTTCACTTTTCCTAATATTACTTTATAATATATTTGAGAAAAAGCATTAAAACTGTGAAACTTCGAAATCGCATATTTCTGGAACCAAAAGAGAGCGCCACAAAATTCAAAGTGTGTATTACTTAGGAATGTACCCTCTACAACATATGTAAAAATGAAAACGATCCGTGAGATGTAAGTTAATGCGAACATTTACCATAATTTTTTTAGACTTAGTATTAATGCTCAGATAAAGAAAAAAAGTTGATATAATGAAGAGGATTCTTGTTGATTCTGTGAGTAGAAAAATGTGTAGAACTGTATATATAGGTTTGAAAAAATATTGAAGTACTATTTCACAAGAGAACAACGCGTATGATTTAATTAAATTTTACAAGAGAACAACACGTCTAATTTATTCCGCGACTCGTTGTCGGTTGACTACGTGAAACAACAGTACACGGTACTTCGAGAATATTTGATATAAGAAAAAAAAAGAAACGTAAACAATAAAGTGAACAATAGGCAAGGATAGACAATAAGACAATAAGATAAAATGTAAACATAAACGCGACGCGTCCGGATAAATTCGGTTACATGAAGCAAAAAATGTAGGTCTACAGCGATAATATTACAACGTATAGAAACTTAAGGATTATATTTGTAACAAATTAAACATTATCAATTCTGTTACGTTTAAGTAATAGATTTTTCACTAAACATATACAGAGAAAAAAACACATAAAAGTACGAGCATTATATACAAGATTATATTTTCTGTTCGATTTTCTATATTTTCTTTTAAGATAAATGTCCCAATGGCCGGATATGTCCCAATATCCGACCACATGGAAAAAAAATATTTACCCTTTATTTGAACAATTATGAATGAAAATAATAATTATTGTAAAAAAACTCCAACATTTGACGATTAATTGGGGAAAAAAAATAAACTTAATTTAAAATTTTTGTATTAAAAGAAATTGATTAAATAAGCGTGTGTCTAAGGTTAGGCAAAATGATGGCCGATCGTTAACAAATTCGTTAAACGTAAGCATCTAATTAAATAGTATGAAAATTGGATATTTAATTATATTTGTGAATAAATAATTGAATATCTAATTTCAAAAATTAATTAGAAACTCTCTTTGACAAAATTCATCATAAAAATCACAATTAAAACGATATTTTTGAGCGTTCGAAGACTGGTATATTAAAAATACCAGTGGTCCCACTCGCCGGACGTATGTGCAAATAATAATAAAAAAAGATAAAAAGTTATTTGTGACGACCTACGCTTAAACGTCCGGCCACTGGGACATTTATCTTATGTGGGTTCAAATAATTTTTCCCAGCTTAAGGGAATGTTAAACTTTCGATTGACTGCAAATATTTATATTAAAAATCTTTCTAATATTATAAATTGTATTATTTGTGACAACCTACGCTTAAACGTCCGGCCACTGGGACATTTACCTTATTTGTCAAATCCTTCAAAAAATAAAAAAATTATTTTTTTCTTACGGGAAAAGTTTAAAAAATATTTGAAAAAACATAGAATTGTATTGTATATGTATATATATTTTGTTTCGTTATTTCAAACCGTAAAAAATATTTCAAAATTTAGCGAAATTCTCTTTCTCAGTCGCTTCGTGACTGCAGACAAAAAAAATCGTAATTTCATTTCAGTGCGAAATTCCCGGAATGTGCATTTTGTGCAATTTTCCAGGTCATGTACGATATCTAGCGCTTTATTTTTCTTTGTATAATGGATTCGCTTAAATAACGCTTTTAACTGCGGCACATGGAATACAAACGCGTCAAATCGCTAACACGGCTTTCTTTTTCTTGGGTATTGATTCTAGCTTCAACAAATTGTTGCTGCAAAAAGAGGAGCTCGAACAGAAGCACCTGCACCTGTTGCAAATCGTCGAGAGCGAGAAAACGGCTAAGTGGCAGTACACTCAGCAATGTGAAGAATTGGCGTCGGAAATAAAAAAGCTCCGAGCGGAGGTCAGTCATATTAGCCGTGCATATACAGGGTGTCTGATAATAATTGCCCCACCCGTAATGTGCAGTTAGAGCGGATTAAACCGAGCAGGAAAGTCCTTTACCATTTTGCGATTTTTGTAATAATTATTGAGAAATTAATTAAAAAAGATCGATCAATTCGCGCGAATATAAGCGCGCAGCGAGAAAAAACAACCCAAAAGTAGGCGCGCGACAAAATTTTGGGAAGAGTGCTCTACAAATGACAACAGTTACGTACGAGCGGTACATAACGATGGATTCTCACGTCCTAGCAATTACATATCAATGCCGCCCATATCAGGCCATCTTTCTCACCGCGCGATAGTACTCGCGCGAATTGGCCGATCTTTTTTAATTAATTTCTCATTAATTATTGCGAAGATCGCAAAACGGTAGAGGACTTTCCTACTCAGTTTAATTCGCTCTACCTGCACATTACCGGTGAGGCGACTATTATCAGATATCCTGTATATAATTGTCTGATGATATTTCCTTCCGGTAATTCTATTACGCACTTTCCTTCATTTCATTCACTGACCGTATTTCGGTCATGTGAATGCCGTTATTATTGCCCATAACAGGTAGACCAATTTGCTGAAAATCTATCTACAGGAAAATCTTTCATGTTTTAATAATTTACATTTCAGAGATCATAATATAACAGATTATAATATGTGCGGATAAAGCTTTTTTCGCTATTATTCTCTCGGAAACTAATTGAAAAATTATTTTATTCTTTACACGCAGCTTATACTATATTTTTAAAAATATACTCTTTTTTGCGTAATATATATAAAATGTTAGTAATAGAATAATGCTTTCCATAATTTAGATTTGTCAATTTTAATTTATACTGATAACAAATATCGAGATATCTTTGGGCGCACCAAAAATTAAATTTTTATTGATTATTTTAACTCGCAACGTTATTGGCCAATCCTATACATTATTTTTCTAACTTGTTTTAATTTAATAGTTAAATTAGTTATAATATATTAAAAAATTAGTGAAATTATTACATTATAAAAAATGGAAAATATTTGATATAAATATTCGTTCCATATTTAATCCAAGCTTCGTTGAGCATCCCTTTTTAATTTACTTAAGAAATACAGAAAGAGGTGTTTGTTAAGGATTATTCCCTCCATATGAGATTACGGATTTCGTTATGGTTATATTACAGTTGTGCGCCCTGAAAAAGGAGCTAAGGCCCTCCATAGCGCCGGTATTTCATACTCGACCGGGGGTTCAAAGAACTATGTCCCAAGGTACTGGAAGTTTATACAGCGGAACCCAATATTTCGGCGGTGTTCACGACGGATTCATGTACGCAGAAGTGCCCGGATTACAAGGTATCACGGAGGGCTCTATTGAAATGCAGAAAATCAAGAAAGTCCAAAGCTTTTTCAGGGGCTGGCTGTGCCGTCGACGTTGGAAACAGATCGTTGAACAATATATCAAGAGTCCACATGCCGAAAGCATGCGCAAGCGAAACAGGTAATTATCGCAATGCGCGATGACGTTTAACTTGTTCGCGGTCTTCATTTCCCGATTAATGGTTTGTCATGTTTTCACGAATTTCACGATTGTATTTTGCACGACATTAGGGAAATAACAGAGCGTGGCGAAAAAGCGACATCAAAAACTTTAAAGACATTTTAAGCGACGTAATATTTTTTACGAGAGGAAATTACGAGTGATTCGTTCGTTATACAGAATATAATTGAGAGAAATATTTTTTTGTTCTCAATAGAATTTTCGATTGTTTGATTTCCCCCTGACGTTGAAAAATTTTATTTTAATCAGAACGGCTGATATTTCTTTCATTCACGACATAATAACGACAAATCAGCGGTTATTGGTTTCATTTCATTTGAAGAATGAAACCATAGACGGTATATTAAATATATATCCTACCATTTCAGTCTGGTATTTCAAATGGTGGAGGCCGAGGAGGAGTACACGGAGCAGATGGAGGTTTTAGTAAGCTGTTTTCTGAGGCCTTTCAAGATGGCTGCCAGTTCAAAGAAACCCCCATGTAGTCACGAGGACGTGAATAGCATATTTTTGAATAGCGAGACCGTGCTGTTTCTTCACCAGATCTTCCTGAAGGGTCTTACTTCTCGTATGGAGAGCTGGCCCACTTTAGTTTTAGGTATGAATTTGAATGCGATATGAATCCATATATAAATAATGAGTTGCCTGTATCTCTACAATATATTGAGCAAGTCAAACAGCAAGTAAAAGTTTGCGATTTTGAATTTCTAGCGATTTTTCTTTTTTTTTTTTACAATATTAATTTTTACATTTTGTAAAAAGAATGTAATTTTGTGAAAAAGATTGCACACTGATCAATCACGATGTATCGAATGTGACGCAGGTGACTTGTTCGACATGCTGCTACCGATGTTATCGATATATCAAGAGTACGTGCGTAATCACCACTATAGCCTTCAAGTGTTGACTGAGTGCAAGCAATCGTCACCCCCGTTCGTAGCATTGCTCAATAGGTTGGAGAACAAGACTGCCTGCCACGGACGATCCCTGGAGATCTTTCTAACGTATCCCATGCATCAGGTAACAGTCCCATAAAATTTCCATGCGCGGATAAAATCGGCGCAATTTTCCTACACAAGATAGAGAAAGTAGTACAAACATTCCTAGAAATCTAAGTTTCGCTTTATATTACATTACTGCTGAAGGAGAAAGAGAAAAGTATAACTATTAAATTTTTTTATGTGACATTAATTTCTTTGCGTTGTTATTCCTGCAAGAAATCAAATTTTTACGCGAAAAGAAAATGAAAAATTCAAGAAATTATTTCAGTGACACAAATGCCTTTTCAGGAACAATCGATTATATGAAATAGTTCGGGAGCTTTCATGAATATTGCATAAGATCTGACGGGCTTGTAAAATGATAGGTCTCGATAGCGCGGAAAATATACATTCCATTGCGCCTTTCCGGAAATTCCGCATAACATAGGAAATTCTTTTAGAGCTCGATCGGCGGAATATAAATTTACGGTTGCTTTAAATATACATATAATGCGCGTGTTAGTTTATATATTTTTGTACGTTCTCTCTTTCTCTTTCTCTTTCAGAAAATTGATTAAAATTTGTTTGACGAGTTTTAAATCGCAACTATTCTCCTAACTATTTTCTTTCTCTTTTTTGGATTTTAGTGGAACTTAAGCAGAAGTTCCTTAATCCAGCTACTTACTTTGCTCGTTTAGATTCCAAGGTACATTATTACTTTGCACGAGTTATTGGCGCACACGCCATACGATCACGTGGAACGTAAGAGCCTTCAGAATGCCAGGCAACAGCTGGAGGATCTCTCAAGACAAATGCATGACGAGGTATTTGTCGATCGATTCTATATTAGCATGGCCTTGCATCTTAATTTTGATATTAATCCAATGTATCTTTCCTCTTTTTTCAGGTCAGCGAAACTGAGAATCTAAGGAAGAATCTAGCTGTTGAGCGGATGATCGTCGAAGGATGCGATATTTTGCTGGATGTCAATCAAGTGTTCGTACGACAGGGTAAGTCTATTAATATTCTCTCATAATCTCTTTCACAAAACTTACTCAAAGTCTCTTTTAAAATAAGCTTTTAAATCTTAAGTTTTAAATTATTTAATTCATATAGTGTAGAACACAATTTAATTTTATCAAAAAATAAAATAGTCGAAATTATTTTGTACTCTAACGTCATATATTATTATTATCTATTATATTCTATTTATCTTTGAATAGAATACAATAAATATTATACTTAGTAAACAATAGAAAAAAATTGCTTGTTTTGTTCATTAAAACATCATTTTTATATTATAAAGAAATTAAAATATTTTGAATGAAAAGATTTAGTGTATCCCATCAAAGTTGATAAAATTCAGGCTAATCAGATAACTCATGTATATTGCTTATCTTTGGCTGGGAAACTCGAATCTAGACTTGATCGCTGTCGGTAAAGCCCGACAAGCTTGCCATCGTTAGAAGTGCGGGAGGACGAAACGGAGACGCAAGTTAAAGAGCGCAAACGCGCGGTTGCATTTTCGGAATCGATGACGCGACTTGGTGGCGTCGACATATTTTCGCACTTGGTTTCGCGATCCTGCGCAATATGTTCTGCCAGGGCCGACGTACTGTTGTACTACTGCCAGAATTTTGTTAAGGAAAACGTCTTTGTTCGATTGTACGGTTGGATAACGAACACACACAATAAGCAAAATATCATGCAGTTTTAGCTACTCCAAATTTGATCGGGATAAAATAGCTTTTCTGACAGTTGCAATTTTAAATATTGAAAAATGGCTATAGTTTGATAGAAAATTCAAATATTAAAAAAATGCTGAAAATACTCAATAATAAGCAGAATTAAAACAAAACCCTAAACTGAAATTTAAATTTGAGAAATTGTATACTGTATATTGTACAGTTAAAATTATTGTTTAACAAAAAAGAAGAATATATAAATAATAAAAAAATAAACTTAAATTAATGAAATATTATATTGATTGTCCAGGATGTACTTTTGCTGAAAGCATTAAAAGATTAAGTAGTATAAGACTATTTTAAGTAGTAAAAGTCTATCATAAATCAGATCGGTAAACATCTCGATACGACCCTGGCGCCCCTCGTGCTTGGCGCCGCATCACATGGTTATCACGTAAACGTCTCTCAATCGCCAACAGCAGAGTAGTCCCTCCCGCGAACGTGATCATCCCTCTTGCCCTTTCGTCGTGACGAAAAAAATCAGCCATCACGCGACACTACGTTCCGTTCGAAGGCAATGAGCTAGAATTCGTTCGGGATCTGCCTGTGATGCGGGGGATGTTAGGCGGTTTAGCGGGACTTGGGGTCGACGAACGGACGAAAACAAGCGGCGGCCAATCCGTGTCGTTGCCATTTTGTCGATTCATCAATCCGGCGCATCTCGACGTGCATGAGGATCGCGGGAGCCTTGCGACGTGTTGCGCCAGTTCGATAATGTAGTTTCGATAGTGAGCAAAGAGGGACCAAGCAGTGTGTGTGACGCTGGTACCAGGGACCAAGGGTGATCAGACATCTAAAAGTAGCATTTCGTCCAATAATAAGTGCACGTAGACACTGGCAAAGGATCATTAAGTTCGACTGTTAAAATAAGGTATGCGCGTGGCTCACCGTTCTTGACGATGTTGGAAGGAAATTTCAATGGAAGAATTTAACAAATAAATAACAAGTTCTGCACGATCAAGCTGACTACGTCGATTAAAAAACCATAATATTGCTTTTCTCGAAAAAATATGATATAGCTTGATTATCTATAAAAATGTGAATATGCTGCATTGCATAAAAAAAAAAAAAAAAAAAAAAATGAAAACAAGGATATATATCCGAGCGGTGCCTAGATCTTCGCATCCTAGCGATCGCATATTAGTGGGCTGTCCTTTCTCACTGCGCGCTTATATTCACGGGAATTTTTTTAAATTAATTTAATTATACTCGGTCGATCTTTTTTAATTAATTTTGCAATAATTATTGCGAAAAACGCACTATGATAAAGGACTTTCCTTCTCGGTTTCACCTGCTCTACCTGCACACGAGAGGTGATACGTATATTGTATATATATATACACGTATAATTGATCAATTATTATAATTAATTACTCTTTTGAAACGAACTGTTACGTTTGTAACACACATTTTCTAAAACCTTCATAATATCGAAAACTGTCTGGCCTTATATGACTTTTTTCCCTTTGATGCATAATTAATCTACGGATTGAAATCGGTATAATCATGTTCAGATCTTGAATTATGATTCCAAAGATATTTTTTTTTTTTACAATATTACATTTACAATATTGAAAACTAAAAATAGTGAGATAATGTTGATTTTAGTCTTTATGACAACGTCACCAATAGTCTTGATGCTGTAGGCACTGTTATTACAAATATTGCATTTATCGCAATAACACGTTCGCCGTGCTATTTTTAAACGCACGTCGGCGTCGGTGGCCTCCCTTAATTGTATCGATTATTTTGAGAAAGCGCGCGCGGGTCACCGGTATCGAAGCTGTCACGCGAGATAGATGTAGCTATTTTTACCGGCACGGCCGATTATTTCCTCGGGTTTCTTCGAGGATATCAATAAGAACGACGAGATAACGCGCTGACAACGGTCACATTTAATTGTATGATTTTAATTGGCGTGTTTCAGGTACGCTCGTACAACTCGTAGACAAACCGCGCGGTGCGCGAAGCAGATTAAGCGCTACTTTTGGCAGCAAATCCTCTAGCGACAAGGAAATTTCCAGACTGTGCTTTCTCTTCTCAAATCATCTGTTGCTTACGACGCGTCAGTCCGATGACGACGGCCGCTTAAATCTGGTCCCGCAAATCGGCAAGGTACCTCTTTCCGACGCGGTGCTGATTGAAGATCCGAGCGACCAGGGTGCCGTGGATGACGATGGTAATTATTCGTTCAGTGATTTAGCTGTTAATGATCTGTCATTAATTTCCTTCAAGATCGTCTCAACAATGTACAAATTTTTTGTTTAATTAAAATTTAATATCGGGTTATTAATGGACAAAGAATACGAAAAAATTAATAAAAGATAGAAAGAGAGATACACAGTAGTAATCTTTCAAATAATCTCATGTCATAACGCAATGTCTTTCTCATTTTATGTATTATTGTTTTATATATTACAATCCAACTGTTTTATTATAAATTGTTGTCTGCGTCATGGAAAGAATTGTGAAAGTTATATCGCGAATCTCATGTCTTACTCATGAGAATTTATTCAGTGCTACTGGAGTAGCAACCGCCAACTGATTTTAGGATTGTCAGTATGTTCGATGTCAAGCGGCATTAGCGAGAGTAGCGGAAGCGGCAGCGGTGGCGCGACTTCGCAATTGCAGAATCGCGACTTCAAGATCTTACTCGATGTAAAATCCGGTGGATCGCAGGTGACCGTTCATCTCGTGGCGCCTACTATACAGGTAAGTATTATGTATTGCATACAAAACACAATTTTATCGTCATTACTGTAATATCTAAAAATACATTATAAATCAATCTTTAAAGTTGTATTTTTGCATTCAAACTGCAAAAAAAAATAGATTAAAAATTATAGAATTACAAGATTTGTTAAACGCGTTTTCGCTCCTTTCTATTATCATACAAGAGTTATAATATGATATTATGGCATAGTCGAACTTTTTATAGGAAAAAGCAGCGTGGGTCAGCGATATTAGCCAGTGCATGGACAACGTTCGCTTTAACGATCTGCTCCACGGATCGTTGTCGGACACCAGTTCCGTCACGATGCCGCAGTCCATCCGGAACGATCCGAAGCTGTTCAAGGACGACGTGGACATCAGGTTCAGTCGTACTTTGAACTCTTGCAAGATACCGCAGATCCGTTCCGCGACGCCGGAACGTCTATTGCAACGATTGACCGACCTCAGGTTTCTCAGTATCGATTTTCTCAATACATTTCTGCTGACGTACCGGGTGTTCACCGATGGTGTCACAGTATTGGAGGCCCTCAAGAAAGTTTTTTACGAAGCTGAGCCGCCTGACGCGCAAATGCCGACTGGATCCCTCATGTAAATACGATGAAGAGTGATAGAAAAATTGTTTATTTAAAATAGATTTATAATTCTGCAATTTTAAGAATTAAATACGGTAATCATAATTATGAATTACCAAATTATCAAGAAAATTAGATAACTTGCTGCACATTATAAGAGTCCTTTCATAATTATTATTATATAATTAGAATTCTTTTGTATAAAACATTTTTGGTGCTAATTATTTTTGATATATTTATGGAGATTATACGTTTTATATTTATACTCTAGGTCCTTAGATGTGTTAGGAGCAAATTCGAGCGAAATACAATTGCATTCAGAAGAACGAAGAAGAAGTAGCTTTTCACCGAGACGAACTAGTGGCGCAAGTTCTGTATCAGGTGCATTATAAGCTTCGTTAACAAGATTTAATCAACAATTGACGATATATTAAGAACAATCCAATTAGTTGCGACCTTTCAATTAATAATAGAATCTTGTGTTTTGCATATATATATAGGATACGGATCGGAAGTGAGCGATAGCCGTGATGCGAAGTCGCATAGCTCCTTTGATGCTAATACAGGTGGACATAATTCAAAAAGTTACTGGCGATCTGGTTATAAGAAGTGTAAGTATTTTTGGCACATATTAGTTTTATAATAAAACGTAATAATTTAACCGAAAAATTGTGAATTATGGAATAAAATCATCAAATAATTCATATAAAAATGATTTGGTATCGAAATGCGATTTAAAAGAATTTCTCATATTTAGTGGAAGAAGAACAACCGCTCGGACTGATTTCCGAGATGCCGATTATAAAACGTAGTCCAACGTCGCAAGCATCCAGTCCGTCTAGCGCGCAATCTCCGGTCACGCCGCGAAAAGTCAGCATTCGCGTAGATAACAAGGATGCTGAGAACAACGGATGTCACCTGACGATACCGAAAGTAATAGCAGTGTCGTCTAGCTCCGAGACACTCACAGGTATAGTTAAGAATTGATATTTAAATTTGCGAAGCTACGCACTTGAAATTTATATGTAACATATGTGTGCAACATAAAATTACATATTAACATAAAAAGTAATTAATAATTCAAATAAAATATTTAGAGACGATAATTTTTCAATACTTATAACTGTAAGGAAAAATAGGGAAGATCATAATATGGAATTTTTATTAGGTAAAATTGTAATATTGTTAATATATGAAAGACCTGGAATATAAGATGTTACAGTGATTAGTGCACCGTCCTCACCTAGTAACTTGAGCTCTGTAACGCTGGTTGGTTCGATAGAATCCGGATCTGGATCCGGATCGGATCCAAGTCCCCAAGAGGGAGGGGGTACTTACTCACGTCGTGTCTCAGAAATTGATACACCTGTCGCAATGGAAGAGGATACAAGAGGTACAGCTACTTTTACAAAGTATTAAGAATTTAGTAAGAAGAATTATTAGTAAGAAAAAAGTGCATTAATTAAAAATATGGATAAATTACACTTGGGTTTTACGAATTATTTAATTAAGATATGCGTAACACATGAAATAAATTATAGAAGTACAATTTACTTATGACGACATACCACAAACATCACACTCAGCCGAATCTGCCAAACCGGATACGCCAAGGAAAACGCCTACTTCTCCGCCGAGCAAGGAAACGAAAACGAGTAAAGAGGAGCAATCTACGCCGAGCGACGACGAAAGTGTATGCTCTTTTAAACAATTGACGCAGCAGAATCAGCAACAGCAATATCCGGAACATAGGGCATCGATCGCTTCTGCTCCATCGGGCACCACAAGGAGCGGCTCGATCTCCACCATAACTGGAGTATGTATGATAACAAAATTTGAAAATTTCTTTTCACGGATTTAGTAAATTAATTTAATCGATCTATTTTTTGAGCATTATTAAATGAACATTAAAGGTATATTAAATTTCCAAAATTGCTTTTATATTAATTTATAGCATAATTGAATTTTTCGTGTTATTTAACAAAGATCCGCAATTTTGCGATCGTTTTGCAGAATTATTGGGCAAGTAGACGATCGATGCATGAGGAGGTCTCTTCGCAGCATAGCAATTTTCAGCACGATGTTCAGCAAGTGTCCAGCAAAGCCGGTGTGGTAATAACTAGCTTCCGCCAGAGTCATCGAAGGTTCGTTTGAATATGGTTTTATTTTATCGTGTCTGCATTTTTTCGTGTCTCTTACAATTTAAAGACGTTCGTATATCGATAAAAGTTATCTCTATTTCGTTTTAGCTGAATGTTGAGTGCCACAGATGGCGACTTCTGCTTTCTAACGCATGAGAGCTTCTTCTCGATATCATGTTTCATTTATCAGATTCACAGTTAAATTCATTTTTTGGAAAAAGGAATTTAGAAAGAAATAGAAATAGTTTATAAAGCGTTTAGTATTTTTTGATAGTCTAATCCGTAAGGTAGTAGATAATTTTCTAACATAATTCCTTGTTCTGCAAAAATTTATTTTTTAAAACCCAATCTGAAAATTTCTAGCCATAATTAAGTCGTATCTATTTGTATTGAAAAAGTTGTAAATATATTGTAAATATGTTAATCATGTCCGTCTCCTGTAAAAGCCATTTTATAAATAATCTAAAATTCATTTTTATGCAATATACACTTTTTGAATAATTTGTAAATATCTTAATATCTTGATTTGTTTTACTCTTGATAGATAAAATGCTAATAATAATCATAATGCAAAAAATTATCACCCTATTTAAAATTTTTACTCCATTTTGCCCGATGAATTATATTCTTATCACCATCTTCAAGATCAAATTAAAGTGATCCCTTATATTAGGAAGATATTCCTGCTGTTTCTACTGTATTTCATGTATTGTTTTGTGTCGTTCATAGCATTGGACCTGAACCTATCTGGTAAGTGGGCTCATTTTGAAAGCGTCATTATCCACTTGTTACGTGTGGCATGGCTACAATCCTTTTTCTGCTTGCGACATCTTTAAAACAAGCTTGAAATGTCCGCCTTGTGTTTTGTCCTATTATTATTTCTATTTTTAGAAATTTTTTTCTAAACTCTTAGAGTTATTAATTCCAAAGATCACGTAATCCTCACAAGCATCGCTCTTTCTTTGCGATTTAATTATGTACATTAAACTGATGAAACACGACATCTCATTCGATCTATTTGATCGTTTATAGAATACACCCCATAGCAAACGAGTGAATGGATCAAACGAAATAGAAATAGTTTTTACCCGATAGCCGCCTTGTGTCACTTGATATACGTGCTTATAGTGCTAAATATACCAGAATTGGAATCAGTAATATAATTCCGGTGAATTCGGATTTCGATGTTATTTCTACATTTTTTTATGACATTGAAGATGCAACAAATAGCGTTCTTGTTGATGATTTGTTTAATAACTATAGCATCAAAATTTGAATTTGCCTAAATCGTCAGTTGCAATACCTATTTCCAAAACTTAATATACTTTGTACTAGCGGCACATTAGTGAAAATAGCAAATAAAAGAATTTACACTGCTGACTTGCCGATATAGTAGAATTTTTTTTTTGCGTCTCGATATGCACATTGAATATTATTAGCATAGATCATTCACGATGCGTATTGTATGATGATATAAAATATAATTAAAAAAATACAAAGACATGATAATCGCGCGCTGAATTATTTCCTGAATGTCTTGCCTTCGTTCCTTCAGCACGACAGCGTGTTTGAAATGCATCGCGAACGACTCGCAAATTAAAACGTAGAGCATAGAATGGACGCGTAGATCGTCGAGATGAAAAATAATTCGCGAATAGACTCGCAATTTTGATTTATATTTAATATGGTCGTTGATACGTTATTAAAATTGATCCTGAATTTAGGAGTAGCACGTCTACCGCGGCGACCGCATTTGCCATCGCGACCTCTGCTTCGAGCAATCCACCGGACAAAGGACCCATGAGTGACGGGAATAATCGTAACCGGGACAAAAATAGGAGGAAGGAATCGGTGATGTCGACCGCCGCGACGATGAGAGTACTGAACGTTCTGAGACATTGGGTATCCAAGCATGCCCAGGATTTCGAGATGGATCAGAAATTAAAAAATCTGACCATCGAGTTTTTGGAGGACATCAATTACAGCCCGAATCTGTTGCCGGCTGAACACAAGGCGGCCAGTCAACTGCTGAGACTAATCACCAAGGAAGAATCCGACACCAATAAAGTCGATCTAAAGAAATTATTAACTCCGCCATCAGTAAGTAACGAGAAATCATATCTTTCTCTTCCTATTCGTCCGATATTATGTCTAGCAAAAAAAAAAATATATATATATATATATCATTAAAATAATACTCTATTCATTATTTGCGAAAAATAGTATAAAAAAAATAGAAAAATAATTCTTGGAATTAAAAATTTAATTTAATATAATAATATAAAATTTAGCTTAGTAAAGCCTAGCTAGAGATAGATATACATATATTAAGATATGATTACGAATTATTTTCAGATTCAGAGTAAGGAGAGCATCGAGACGCTGTCTGCGCTCGAAATCGCGGAACAGATGACATATCTGGATTATCAGATATTCGTCTCTATCACCAGCGAGTAAGTAATTACTCGAATTACTAAATAATATCGCTGCTGTTTTAATACATAATTTAATTCTCAGGGAGTTTCTTGGACAAGCGTGGATGAAGACGGATAAGGCAACTCGGGCGCCTCATATCCTTCTTATGACGAAACGATTCAACGAGGTGTCGCAATTAGTCGTTTCCGAAATTATTCGTCGTTCCAACATGTCAGCCAGAGTTGCAGCTATCGAGAAATGGACCGCGGTTGCTGATATCAACAGGGTTTTACATAATTACAATGGCGTGCTGCAGATTTGCGCAGCGTTCACGAACAGCAGCGTGTACAGGCTGAAGAAAACCTGGGAGAAAGTTCCCAAAACGGTAATCTAATAAAATTCCTGTGTAATTACAAATTCATCTTTCAAACAAGTAAAGGCCACTGATAAATGATTAAATATATTTTCATAGTTTTTCATTATGTCGATAATAAAGCGTCATAACTAACTGATAATATAAGATCAGATTATTACTCAATTATTATTAATTTTCAGACAAAGCAGACGATAGACAGGCTACAACATATCGTCTCATCCGATGGTCGCTTCAGAAATTTGCGAGACGCTTTACATCGATGTGATCCACCTTGTATCCCTTACTTAGGAATTTACCTCACCGATCTCTCATTTATCGAGGAAGGTACTCCAAACATTACCGATGACGGTCTTTTGAATTTTTCGAAAATGCGAATGGTAAGCGATATTTTTCCAAATCACTTTTTAAGATCTTAAATTTGTTTTCAAATTTTTAATTCTTTTGAGATTAGAAACAAAAATTAATAGAAAATAAAAATAAAATAGAAATAAATATTATTAAATAGAAAAAGGATAAAAGGAAAAAATAAAAAAAAAGAATGTTTAATCTAAATTTAATTTAATGATGTTATTTAATCAATTATATCATACTATCTATATTATTGAATAAAATAATACTATGTGCATTTTCAGATCTCTCATGTAATTCGCGAGATACGGCATTTCCAGCAAACCCCCTACAAAATCGAATTAATTACTAAGGTAACCAACTATCTGTTGGACACATCGCTCCTACTGAACGAAAAAGACCTGTATCGCATGTCCTTGGAGATCGAACCCAGAACGTCCAAGTTAAGTAATTCTAGTTTAATCGGTCTGCCTCCTTCGGTCAGTCATACGTCTACGAAATGAATTTTGTCTCTCGTAAAGCAATTCAATTACATCTTTATTTTCTAATGAACGATAAAGAAATTCTGAAATTTCGAAAGGGTTAACTCTCTGTTGCAAGCGATCGATCCTTGAAGGACGATCGCAAATGCGACTCGTCGCGTTTTTCACAGCCCCGTCCATTATTTCTGTCCATTTCCGCTTATAACGTAACGTTCGACGTCCATTTCTGTTGTCATTTGTATTTTACGTTTTACAAGATATATGCGTAAGCATTAGATAAGTAAGCTTAACAATGATCTCATCGTCGCACAGAATCGGCCTCTTTATTCGCGGATGGAATCTTATCAGAATTGTTAGTAGGCGTAACAATTGCAACATAACAAAACTGATTAGGTTTCGACGAAATATTCTATGTTACTAGAATTGTTCCCTTTTCCATCTTTTAATTATTCTAATGCTGTTTTTAAGTTTTTAAGAGAGAAAGAGTCTCTCTGTCGTAATCCAAAGTTGCATGGGAGGATACTGAACAAGAAAATCGTAGATTTTAGTAAGAACATTTAGTAGTAATAAAATGTAATAATAGTACGAGTATAGAAATTCCAGAAGATTGAATACGGCGGTGTGGCTGTAAAATCTACTGATGATAACAGTACAAGAATAGTAACGAACGATGAAAGAGACTTTCTTATAATAACATGATTATAATTAATGTTCTCTCTTTCTCTCTCTCTTCTCTCTCTCTCTCTCTCCGTGTTGTTGATCCACGAGTAAGTAATTCAAAGCGCTCAGAAATGTGATCAATCCGCTATATAACGCATATTTCGAAGAATATCCCCATTTTTTACAATATAGAAGTTGTGTCGTTGACACCGATAAAATAATCTCGGCAAAAGCAACAAAAAGCTATCACTGATTTTAGTTTAATCCAGTTCAATCGAGCCAGTATTATTACGCGAGGCGTACATAAGCAGTTCAAATGAGTACCTTTAAGAAAACAGACGAGAAGCGTGAGAAGCGAATGGGATTGTATTTTGACAATCAATAGCATAAAGATATCGCTGTGTTTTCCGTTTCTAATTCTAATTGTCGCTACGAGTATCAAAACAAACAAAAAAAACTCACAAGTTAGTCAAGCATCTTTGAAACCATTTTTACGATCATCTCAATTATTATTTTCGAAAAACAATTCTATATTTTATTAATTATTATATTATATAATCTCATTTTTATTAATCAAAATTCGCATTATCAATATTTCATAATATTCATTTTTCGGTTATATATTTCAACTTTGTAAGCATTATCGTTAAACTAATATTTATAAATGCATCTTTAAAACTACAAGAATTTCCTCTGTTTGCCAGACGAGGTTAAAGTCTTGTATACACAGAGGGGGGGTACACACATATCAACTATTTAATATAATTCGAAATCAATGTCTCTCTCGCTCGCCTTTATATTTTTATTCGATATATATATATAGCAAAGTACGACCAGGTAGTCTGGAAAGAAAACTGGCATTCTCTCCGTGAAGGTGCATTAAAAGAAGGAGGCGAGAAATCTTAAGCGCAAAAAAATTTATATACATATATTATATTGTATATATATATATACACATCTCTCTACATTTTTAACTTTACGTTTATTAAAAGACTTTGGATGCGTTTCTGCATCTCTCTCAGCATATTTGACATTCCCGTAATGCGAGATGTATACGATCCGATCTGAGCCCGAATATAGAAACCATATGTCGCGTGCGGACCACACACTTATAATTAAGTGCATGATGAAAGGTTTTCTTCGAAGTGCCGCTCTTTGAAAAAGCAATGAGCAAAATCCCAACCGCTCGCATTTACATCTCCAACGTGCAAGTAGTGCAAGTAGATTTTGAGGCGACATGCCATGCGGATTGATGTTAGAACATATGTACGGCGCGTGTGTAAACAACCAGGGTTTATTCTCAAAGCATTCGGAATAAATCGTGCAGTATGATATGGCGGTTGGGTGTCTTATTCATCGAAATGATAAAACTCGATACTTATGTCTTTTCGCGATTCCTTATATCATTGCCTTTACGCCTGCGCCGCTCGAGGACGACATGCGACCAATTAATTGTAAATATATCGAACTTCCCCTCTCGTTACTCTTATCAAATTATCGTTAAAAGTCGATGCGACTATAATCTCCGGGTGTGATCCGCAGATCATGTGTGCATCTTATGTTTCCGGAAAATATCGCTTATGGTTTGCACACTCATTCTCATTTTTCAGTGTATGTGATACTATTATCTATTATAGACGTAGAATACCCGAAAACGAGAGTAATTCTCAATTTGCATGATTAATCCATCCCTTAATAATTTCGCGCTAAATTAGATTGACTAATATAAATTTAAATAAAATAATATTTTTCTTTTATCGCAATATTCTTAGATTGTTAAATAGTCTAAGAACGGGTTAATCGTGCGAATTGCGACTTACTTACAGAATCCATCAATGTTTTAACTGACGTAATTAAACGCATGTTGCGCAAGCAACGTTAAACGTTCGTTGTAACAGCGAAAATTATTCCAGAATCTTGTGTTCATGTGTAGATTCTTTTGATAACTACAAAGCGTCCAATGAGGAGACATGTATTCCCTATTGAAAGTTCAAAGGTACGGTAGGAAGAAGAGAAAGGTAGAGAAACAGAATTCGCGAATCCGAATGTTTGCGGATAATTTTACAATTAGACGGAGCATATCACTGTCACAATCAATATCGTAATAATTATTAATGCCCTTTAGGATCCAAGTATTTCTGCGTGTATTCGCTCAAGCGATTATAAATTTCGAGATGCATGTGATACTTTTCGATACAGATCGATGGCTCTCTCTGATCTCATTCGATCATAAAATCACATTTAAAATGCATTATGGAAAAATTCGTGCAATTTAAATTATTTCACGTAATTATATGTTTCGGGACGAGTTTCTTCGAATTTATATGCTTATAACTATATAAATTCGAAAAATACCTGGCTCTTCAAAACTCATCGTTCTTTCGACATGACATCGATATAACATAATTATATTTGAAATATTAAAATTTGCAATTCACATTCTCGCGATTTTATCCCGACCGCGCATTGTCGCTGTCCTCTCTGTGATTTTAATGCCAGTTCCTCTTACGACTGCTTTCTTGCATCGTCGCGAACGATCCAAGCCAAGAGTGAGGAACGCAAAGCCCCTTCTACTGAACAAAATGGCCCGTAGAACGGATATATCTACAGCAGTCATATTATGGTTCAGTAAAATAAAAATATTAGAGACGGATGTTAGTGATTTTTAATATATGAATTATAATAACTAATTACATTTTTTGTTTACGACATATGTTATATCTGAAAAAATTTAATAAATTTTTAAAAATTATTTTGTTAAATTAGAGAGAGTTATTTTATATCAAGAGACAGTAATTTTAATGAATTTTTAAAACAATTTCAAATTTTAAATTAGATTTGTATTCTAATTTTATTGAATGTTGATGTAATTTACAAGATAGCTTCTAAAATTATTGGTCATTTGAAGAGATTGTCCATCTCTTATCAAAGTCTTGTGCCAATGTGAGAGAAGATTACGTGATAAGTTAGAGTCGACTGGATCGGCAATTTTTATTAGAGCAACTCTAATTAACAATTCCATGTCCTTTTTCAAATCATAGTCCGAATTATGATAGCGTTAAAGAACAAATATTAAGATTATGAATAGCGTTAGCAGATGCCAATGCAACCAACTCTGAGAAGTCTTATGTTTGAAAGATCTGTTAAATTCAGAATACTTCAACGTGTATTCGATTGCCGTAAATAATATCGTATTGCATAATTATCTAAGCGTTTGCGAGCTAGCATTTCTCTTTTCTTCGTCTTCTACTTGCTTGCTCGCAAGACATCACAAAGCTCTATCGTATAACATGGAAGAATATTTTCTAATTCTAGGGTGTGTACAAAGTTATAAGATTACGATCGGCTAACATTTTCTATAAATTGTTATTATGACAATTCTTGGTCATTCTTCAAATATAATCCAATTGGCCATTATATACATGCAACAATTTATTCTTTTTTTTCACGAAATTATTTCGCGACTTGTTTCGCGAAATTCTCATATATTAATGTTATTAAAATATATAATTAAAAAATATCCTTGTTATTATAAAGAAATTTTTATGTAACGATTTAAAAATAACTTGCTGATTTAATTATCAGATTACACATGATTAATATTATTTAATTGTAATTACTAATGTGTTATCATGCAATTAAACAAACACTTCTTTCTCACACATCGTTTTTTTTTTTTTTTTTTGTCAAAGTGCCAAGAAAGTTGCTAATTCTTCTATTTCGGCAATCGTGCTCCAAGTACCTTCAAGCATTCTGAATGATCCCTTTGAGAGATAAAAGTTGCGGATTTCATTAGCGCGCTTTCGCACATACATATATACGTATTTACGTGGCGTACTGTGACACTCACGTGAGCGCTATAATAGATATCGATATGTGTCACGCACACTTCCTTGTATATAATTCTAGTTACATATTGAACATGCGTTGCACTAGGCAGCCATTATTGTTGTTGATAGATCTCGCTATACGGAGGATGATGATTATCGATCGACTTGATTACTATTAATGTAATAAAACACGCAGATGTAACATTGCATTATCGCATACATACAACTAAGATATGTCATTTTATTGTATCCAGCTAACGATGAGAGTGAGATATTAAGATCTCCGTTCTCGGAATCACAGTGTAAAGACGCGGTACTCACCAGTACCTATTTATGATAATTTTGTGCCATTTCATCGCGTTAATGAAGCACGCAGCACGATATTCTCTTATCTACCACTGTACTTTTAAGCTATCGAGAAATAAGTTATAATCATAAGACAACAGCTTATCGAATAGCGTCTTCATCGAGACTTTCGTTTTAACCATAAAAAGATACAGCAGAATTGACACTCATAATTGCCGACAATTCTCTAGAGTCTGCTTACTTTTCATGCAGATGAAAATTCTCGAATAATGAAATTTCGTTAACCAGTGGCTGATCCAAACAAAACTCTTGAATTTTTGTTTCACCGCAATCTAGTTTTGCGTCGCGATTTATAATGCAAAAAACAACGGTTGATTCACATTTGATGAAAGCTGCTTTACATAGGAACGGCTAAACGCGTTTATCTTATTTGCATATAATTGCAAAAACTACATTAATAATTGAAGGCATGATTTGGCGTTGAAAATAGAAATTTTGGCTCTTACAATTCTGCACAAATATTCTAAAGAAGACACGCGAGAAATATCCGGATAAAGAATTGCTTCAAAATTATCAATTTAGAAAACAAATCGCAGTCTTTGTAAAATACAAACATTAATCTGAACATAGAATTAGTCGAGCTAACAATAAGCATTAAAGTAATACGCAAAAAGCATTTATTGTACTTTAGTCACACGATTTATGATCTTTCAACTTCCGTAAATGTAATTGTCGTTATAAACACTAGGATATAATCATTACGACTAATTGTGGGTACTGTAAGGTACCGTCTTAACCAAAGTTACCTCATTCCTTAATATCGATGCGGCACTATATATATAATTGTTGTTCTTGTGTTGTTAGCTTCTTCTCGATTAAAATTATCTCGCGATGAGAACTAACCAATTCGAATCGCCAATTGCGATAGCACACAGTTAAAATGTTTTACAAATATATTATTCATATCTTTTAATACGCGATAAGATCTATATTTTCTTTCGCAAGACTCTAAAAAGGTAAAAGAATTTACTCATCGATAAACGTAAGCGTAATACAGAAGAGAATAAGACTTATGACAATTTTCCACAATGATTTTTCTATTATGCACAAATTGATGATGGAAATGCAAACGCAAAGTCGAGTACATTAATCTTACAGAAATCTCTTAATTTTGCTATTTCACCAAAAATATTTTAATTATTAATAATAATATTCAGCAATTTGTTTAAAATTCTTTGTAATCAATTAAAAAGTTATTTTTTAGAGATATCTCTTAAAGATATTTTTTAGAAAACTTTGAGAAATCACGCATCCTCGCACACGCGAATAAAACCGTGAGTCTTGAAACACTCTGTATTATGTGCACATATATACCTTGTAGGATTCTTTTTTTGTTTATTTCCGATTGTACGGGTTAAGTGCTTAGGAAAGCTTAGAGAGATTCACGATAGAAAGGATTTTCGGTAGGGAAATACCGCAAGAGTAAAAAGTTTTCTCCTTTTATTTTTTGAGTAGCACTTAAAGTAGATGCGCACGAGTATTGTTAAAAGAGAAAACGTAGGACTTTAAAATCCGTGATTCCCCTTGTTTTCCCATTTTAAAGCTTTCTAGTCATAACTTCTTAAAAAAACATCTTGATATCTGCGGTATTTCACTTTGCAAACTTTCTTACTTTTCTTGATATTCCAACGATATAATTAAACAATAGATACAAATTATTTTAAAAAATATATTTAATAAGATAAAAAGTTTTTCCTGGAAATTTATATTTACTTTTTTTAAAGAGAAAATAGTAATTACTTGAGATCTTCTGATTTCCCTCCGCAAAGTTTCAAATTCTTGGACATTCAAAAGCAAAAGATTAAAAATACAATTTAAATTTTTACACTTTTAATAGCTCGAATTTTTCTTTTCTGTTTTTCTTGCGCGCGACTGTGCGAATTTATTTCCGATTCTCCTAATTGAAATCTTTATATAGAAGAATGCTTGGTTTCTCTTTTCTGATTAACAATTATCGCTAATCTGTTGAAGAAAATATCGTCATTATCGTGTAAGTGGCTATGTAAAGTGAGCGTGTATGGATAAAATTGCGTGTTGACGTGTATTTGTAAGTGTGCAATGTGATGTTCCTTTGACTAAAGTAAGCCGAATACTAATCGATCACAAATCATCAGCTGGTTGTGAGTAAATGTTAACTAAGTATCAGTCATACTAATGTAGAGATTCAAGTGCGCGGCGATGACTGTTGAATAAGCTTGATTTTTGCAAATGTAGATTATGCTAATTATTATAACTCTTCAAGATGATCTGTCGATGAGTGTTTGCTCTTAAATATTGTACATAAGTCTCTCGACATTTTATGTAGTTAAAGCCAGATTATGTATTGAACTTTACACGAAATATCGTATGAAACAAAATTGTAAAAAAAAAAAAATCAATTTTGCGCAACAGCAACGTTCGCCACTTCCTCAATACCTTTTTGACATATAGTGTAAGTAATTATTATAATGACTATATTATTGCTAATCTTGTTCGGACAGAATCAAAAAGTCATTATTAAATCAAAGAAGAAAATAACAATATCATAAATAGCACGAAAGTTGAAACCTTAGCTGTTATAAATATAATATAATAAATAAAAACTAAAATATATAAAAATATATGTAATATATATACATATTATATATTATATATATGTATATATATAAAATTTCGCTGTTGTCTTTAATTCTCAATCAGGATTTTAATGTTGTACATGTTTATAAGCCATTGATAAGCTAAATAGTTGATAATTTCGTTGTTCACAAGAAAGAGAGAGAGTAAAAAGGAAGGCTAATCTCTATTCTTGAATATTATACAGTAATCGTTAAAGCTGTCCATTGTCTATCAAATATTTTATATCTTCGATCTGTATACATTAAATAGAAAATATTCTTCTGTATACTTCTCTTGTATTTCTTATTACCTTATTTCTTATTATTTACATCCACAGATGGTATATATCCTATTTTTCCAAACATATAATATTTAATAAATTATTTAAAAAATATTTATATTTTCATAAGAGCGTTCCTCTTTTTAATATAAAAAAATTATACATATATACATATTCTTTTTTGGAGCATTGCCCAACATATTGACGTACACGCATGCATACATGTCATAAATTTACCTTTTTCCTTTATATATGAATTGAATTTCCATAAATATTTTATTTGTTAGTACAATGATGTACCAATATTTCATCATGGAAATATCTTTGGGAAGAGAAATAATGAATCTCAAATAATAGCAGTCTTAAAATCGAGTAACGCAGCCGCAAAGTGTCATATTTCATCCGGATTGCCAGTGCTTTGGAACAAATTGCTACTTTGCTTACCGAATGTGCGGCGTAATCCGGCGTGTAATTGCGGCGACTAAGTGGATAACGAACCAAGAACCGTAACACTTAATTATCACAGCTGAACACGCGATATTGCAAAGTGGACCGTACACGGGACACTCGACTGCCATTAAACCGTGGTAAGCCCGCT